GGTTGGGTGCAGTGGCTCAAGCCTGTAATCCCAGCAGCTCAGGAGACTGAAGCAGGAGGATTGCAAGTTCAAAGCCAGCCTCAGCAACTTAGCAAGGCCCTAAGCAACTCAGCGAGAACCTGTCTCTAAATAAAATATAAAAAGGGCTTGGGATGTGGCTCAGTGTCAAGTGCCCGTGGATCCAATCCCTGGTACAAACAAACCAAAACAAAACAAAGTTAGTGAACAAAAGATGAGAGTATTATATAATGAAGGAATCCACAGGAACAGTTTAACATCAGCATGTAAATCTATTTAGGGGGCTGGGGTTGTGGCTCAGTGGTCGAGGGCTTGCCTAGCATGTATGAGGCACTGGGTTCGACTCTCAGCACCACATATAAATTAAAAAGCAACATAAAAGAATTATGTTCATCTACAACTAAGAAATATTTTTTAAAAAATTTACCTAACAATCTTTAACTTGTACAACTTATGGAAGCCAGAGACCTTTTAAGAGTGACTAAGAAATTTTGCACAATATACCTGTTACTCAATGAGTATTGATGCAAATATATATTTTTGGTTTGTTCAAATATATTTTTTGCTTGAGAAACTTAAGAGTAACCATCATTTTATTTATTTATTTATGAATGGTTCTGGGGATGGGCTGGGCTCCTCTGAGTAATCCCTGCTTAGATTGTGCCAGACAGTGGCTGGGGCCGGGTCAGTGAGGGCTTCCTTGCACCTGGGATTGGAAGACAAGAATAGTTGGTGCTTGTTCTCAGGCTTTTCTGTTTTCATGAAAGGGGTCTAGCAGGAGCCTGCACTTTCAAAAAATATCAATTAACATAATTTCATTTGCAAGGCTGATTGCACTGGCCAGATTTCACCAGCAAAGAATTCTCCTGCCCCAAATACGGACAGCATCCCCAACACACCGCCTTCATTGTCTAGTTTTACTTTTATTAACTGTATCAGCTAACAACCATTAGAATAACAAGTATAGTCTTGGTATGATTAGAAATATTTTTACTTGATGTGATATTATACATTTTTGTCCACAGAATGTCATTTCATGCCAGGTGCGGTGGTGCACGCCTGTAATCCCAGTTGCTTAGGAGGCTGAGGCAGGAGGGTCCTGAGTTCAAAGCCAGCCTCAGCAACAGCGAGGCACTAAGCAACTCAATGAGACCCTGTCTCTAAGTAAAATACAAAATAGGGCTGGGGACGTGGCTCAGTGGTTGAGTGCCCCAAAGTTCAATCCCAAGTACCCCCCCTCAAATAAAGAACTGAAAGTGAGATGCTCTCTGATGATTCACCTGGGGAAGGGGACAAGAGGAGGTGGGTCCCTGTGTACATCATGAACCCATCAGGGAGAGCAGTAAGCGAGCCATCAGGTCAGCGCCAGAAACCACCATCAACAACCCCCATCCCCGAGAGAGTTGCACCACAATCGTGAAAGCTGGGTGGTGGGACTTGGGGTGTGTACACATGCACGTGTAAATCTTTTCATTTATCTTTTGCACGTGGATCCTATACTTCCTAGAATGGGCACCGCTAAATAAAAAAGAGCTTCGTTGATGTATAGTTGACCTTCACCAAAGCGCACACAGGTCAAGTGCGCAGCTGTGAAACCCTGACCACGCTCAAGAGGCTGCCGCCATCCAGTGGGTTTGCCCCGTCCCAATGAACCCCCAAATGCCATTCCAAAGCAACGACTAATCTGCTTTCTGCCGCTGGAAGTCGGATTTTTTCCTTTCTATAATTCCATGGCAATAGAATGACAGAGTGTGCCAGGTATCATTTGACTGCCTCCTTGTTCCAAGCCGCGAAATCAGAGGGGGCCCTTTAAACCTTTTTCCCTGGGCAGCGGACGCGATGCTACGTTTTGTCAGTAGATGGCGCCAGAGAGGCGCCGCTGGAGGCCGGGTGGGGCGGGGCGGGCCGGGCGGCTCCCTGGCCGCAGCGTCTCCAGCCGTGGGTCCCGCGGTGCGCGGCGGACAGCAGCGCTCACCTCACCTGAGAAGCGCTTTCCCGGCAAATTCCATTACAGGGACTCCTTTGCCCTTGGATGGCTACAGCAAACCTGCTCCAGCAAGGTCAAGATCTCTCCCAGGGCTGCCCTCCTTCTCAGCCTCTCTCCCCTTACTTAGACTTGCTGCTCTTTTTATCTACTATTTATTTTTCTTTTCTTTCTTTAATTCTCCCCCCGACACACACACACCCCCAGACTCGGTCTCACTATGTGGCCCAGGCTGGCTTCAAACTCCTGCGCTCAAGGTGATCTGCTGCCTCAGCCTCCCTAGTGGCTGGGCTACAGGTACACCCAGCATTGTATCTGCTATTTTTATATTCATCACTGTTCTTTCTCTTTGTTTTTTAGCAGCCAATCGCTTGCACTCTGATTCCCTGTTATAATTCATAATTCTGTAGCTTAAACATTCTCTGCTCAAATTCCTCTGTGGTTTCAGTTTCCTGATTGGACCCTGACTGACACATATAATATGTGCTTCCTTGCATCTAGCTTCCTTCCTTCAGCATAACATGTGTGTGATTCATCTACATTGTTGGGTGTGTTCATCCATCATTCATTCCTTTTTTATTGTTGAGTAGTATTCCATTGAACAGATAAACCATAATCTGTCCACTCCTCTGGGTTGTTTCCAGTTTGAGGCTGTTATGAATAAAGCTGCTATGATCATTCGTTACACACACGTATGGACATACATTTGCATTTCTTTTGAGTAAATACCTAGCAGTAGAATTCCTGGGTCATGGGGTAAGTATTTAACTTTTTTTTCTTCTTGGTACTTGTGATTGAACCCGGGGATGCTTTACCAATGAGCTACCTCCCAGCCCTTTTTATTTATTTTTTATTTCGAAATAAGGGATGGCTAAGTTGCTGAGCCTGGCCTCAAACTTTGATCCTCCTGCCTCAGCCTCCTGAGTCGCTGGGATTACAGGCATGTGCCACCACACCTGGCAACTCTTTTACTTTTGAACGGTCGCTGATGGTGTTTCTAACCTGCTACAGATGGTTACACAAGGTCATCAGTAAGACAAGATTAAGATTCCTTTCTCTTTAGGAGGATTTATATGTTCGAAGATTCAGCATGGCTTCCCCTTCAAGAAGGCAAACTGAGCTATTGATAATCAAGATGTGTCACAGCCTGTGTGAGCCTGTGGATATGTTATGTTTTTAAGGAACCAAATGTGGGTGCCTGATGATCAGAGGGAACCCCTGATCCCACACCCGGGGTTCACCTCTTATGTGCCTGGTTCTGTGCCAGACTCTCCACACGTTATCTCAGGGACCCCGAGTTCAGAGACCCACTGGAGTGGAGGTCCCCCCTGAGGTAGGCTGGGTGGAAGAAACGGACTGAGGCTGGGACCGGGACTCACCAGGGGTCCTCAGCTTGGCTGCATCTTCCAGCTTCTCCAAAGAAGCCAGATATCCCAGCTTTTATGTGAAATCACTCAAATTTGAAATATAAAGATAAATCTTAGAAAATCAAAGTACAACGTGGGCCAGATAAGACATCTATCTGCAGACCTGGGAACCGACCGAGGGTTCCAACCAGAGGAGGGGACTGGGGATTGGAATCTGGGCAGTGTGGCCTCCCTCTTAAAGGTCACCCTCCAAGTCAGGCGTGGTGGCACACATGTCTATAATCCCTATGGCTCAGGAGGCTGAGGCAGGAGGATCGCAGGTTCAAAGACAGCCTCAGCAACTTAGTGAGACCCTGACTTTAAGTAAAATATAAAAAGGACTGGGGATGCGGCTCGGTGTTAGTTAAGCACCCTGGGTTCAATCCCTGGTACAAAAAAAAAAAAAGAAAGGAAGAAAGTAAGTAAGATGGAAATCCAGGCTTCCTCCACCAACAGAGCCCCCTGCAAAAAACAGAGTTCTCAGGCGTCCTTTGAACCTGGGCAAGGGGCGTGGGGGAGCAGGACTCTGTTACAATAGCTCCACATCAAAACCAAAACACACAGGAAGCCCAGACCAGACACCCAGCCTCTTGTTTGGAAAAGTGTTTGGACAGCAAGGATCACCAGAAGTGGTGACCTGCACAGGAGCCGCTTGACCGAATATGGAAGTCCACAAGCAGAACTGACCCCAGAGGACAAAGAGACAATGCAGAGGAAACAGAGAAGAAAAAACCTTCACGAGACACCTAGGGCCGGCCTCCCGGGCTTTGGACCTGCACAACGGCCCAGGCTTGTTTAACATTCTGCTGCTGCTGTCCCGTGTGTGTGTGTGTGTGTGTGTGTGTGTGTGTGTGTCTAGAGATTGAACCCAGGGAGCTCCAAACCAAGCGACAACCCCAGCCCTTTTTATTTGTTTTATTTTGAGATAGGCTCTCACCAAATTGCCCAGGCTGGTCTCCAACCTGTGAGCCTCCTGCCTCAGCCTCCCGAGTTGCTGGGATTACAGGTAAAATAAATTCTGAACAAGGGGCCCCACATTTTCATTTTGCCCAGGGACCCGTCAACGATGCAGCTAATCCTAAACACACTTAGGTTGAGACGTGCTCAACAAAACAGGCAGCCGATACTATAAAGGGAAGGGACAGAGATCCAAGAAGTGGATTGGATGATTCCTAACAGGAAGAAGCTTCTCACAGAAGGGGATAATTAGTTAATTAATTAATGAGTAATAAGAGGAAAACAATGTGAGGTGTTAATTCTAAGGGCCAGAGCTCAGAGGGGAGGAGAGATAAGGGACACTCACCAGTTACCAGCTGCGGCCAAACCAGCAAAATCACCAGCCCCACATTCCTGACCAGATGTTGAAATCCTATCTCAAACACCAGGTGGCCAAGCCACCCGGCACCCTGCATCTGCCTACAGCCAACCCTACCCAGCGACAGGTACTTCCCACAGTCGGTCCTGGGTTCCCAACCTTCTGCTGGGCCACCGCATCCCAGGTAGCTTCAGTGGAAACGGTTACCGCTCCCTCCCCCAGAGTCACAGAGGTGCTCCCGGCTGCCAGCTCTGGTGGGTGGGTTTTGAGCTGTTACCTGGCCTAGCTGCTGGTCGTCCCTGGAACTTGTCCCCTACCGGTCCTTTCTGGCTAGCAGTTGACGCGGCTCATTACTTCACAGATTCCTTGGTCTCCAGAATCTTTTTCTTTGGTGCAGGGCTGGAGTGGAACCCAAGGCCTCAGTGTGCTGGGCACGTTCTCCACGCCTGAGCTCCACCAGGGACCTTCAAGAATTCGAGAAATAAACTAAAACCTTATTTGTGTTAGATCCGTTTAATGCAGCCCAGGAAAAAGGATTCAGAGCTGGGGATGTGAGTTAGAGGTAGAGCCCGGGCCTGGCAGGCTCCATCCCTAGGACCACAAATAAAAAAAAAGGAACCGTTTTGACCTGGAGACTAGGAGGGTTCTCTTTACAGTGGCTCTGTTTATTGTTTTATTTGTTTGTTTGTTTATACTGGGGATCCAACTCAGGGGCACTTAACCACCGAGCCACATCCCCAGCCCTTTTTATATTTTATTTAGGGACAGGGTTTCGCTGAGTTGCTTAGGACCTCGCTAAGTTGCTGAGGCTGCCTTTGAACCTGCGATCCTCCTGCCTCAGCCTCCTGGGTCTCTGGGTTTACAGGGGTGCACCACTTTGCCCAGCTTGTTTATTGGTTTTTATGGGAAAAGGACTATCTTTTTCTACAACTGGTACTAGGACAATTGGAAATCTACATGCAAAAAACTGAATTTTAGACCATTGCTTCACACTCTATCAACTCAAAATTAATCATGCACCTCAACTTCAGAGTTAAAACTGGGGCTGGGGGTGCAGCTCAGTGGTAGAGCATGTGCTTATCATGTGTGAGACCCTTGCTTTCACCCCTAGCACCACACTGCCCACCCCGAGAGTTAAAACTGCAGAACTGTTAGAAAGAAACAAGAGAAAAATGTTGTGATTTCAACTTAGGCAAAGATTTTTTTTTTAGATACAATACCAAGAGTGTGATTTTCTTTTCTTTTCTTCTCTCTCTCTTTTTTTTTTCCTGTACTAGGAATTGAGCCCAGGGATTTACCACTGAGCCACATCCACAGGCCTTGCTTAAGGCCTTGCTAAGATGTTAAAGCCGGCCTTGAACTTGCAATCCTCCTGCCTCAGCCTCCTGAGTTGCTGGTATTATAGGAGTGTGCCACCATGCCTGCCCAAAAATATGAATTTCAAAAGAAAAAAAGACAAACCAGACACCATCAAGATAAAAGAAAAAAATCAAAACAACACTGAGATTCCATCTCACTCCAGTCAGAATGGCAATCACCAAGAATACAAGCAACAATAAACGCTGGTGAGGATGTGGGGGAAAGGAACACTCATACTTTGCCGTAGGACTGCAAATAGATGCAACCACTCTGGAAAGCAGTGTGGAGATTCCTCAGAAAACTTGGAATGGAACCACCATTTGACCCAGCTATCCCACTCTTCAGTTTATACCCAAAGGACTTAAAATCAGCATACTACAGGGACATAGTCCATCAACGTTTATAGCAGCTCAATTCACAATAGGTAAGCTATGGAACCAACCTAGATGACCTTCAACAGATGATTCGATAAAGAAACTGTGGTATATATACTCAATGGAATATTACTCAGCCTTAAAGAAGAATGAAATTATAACGCAATTTGAGGGTAGATGGGTGGAACTAAAAAATATCATGCTAAACAAAATAAGTCAATCCCAAAGAACTAAAGGCTGAATGTTTTCTGATATTCAGATGCTAATTCACAATAGGGAGGGGGAGGAGAGGTATTTTAGACCAGACAGAGGGGAGTGAAGGGAGGGGAGGAGGCATGGAGGTAGGAAGGATAGAAGAATGAATCAGATATTATGACTCTACGTGCATATGAGTACACAGACCTGTGCAACTCTACATCACGTACAACCAGACAGATGAGACCAGACAATGAGAAGTTGCACTCCATTTACGTATAATGTGTCAAAGTGCACTCCACTGTCATGGATAACTAGTTAAAATACACCCCCCCAAAAAAAAGTCTAATTAAATAAAAATATAATGAAATAAAAAGAATAAAACTTTTGTACTTCAGAAGACCCCATTAGCGCTTGTCCATCATGCCTGGGTTTGGCCCTCAGCACCACTATCAAGAAAACAAATCAAAACCTTTGAGAAAACGAAAAGAGAAGAGTATGGCCCAATGAAACAATCCTTGCCTAGCATGGGCAAGGTCATGGGTTCAATCCCTGGTCACACTCACACACACACACACACTCTCACACACACTCAAGCTATAGATGGACAGAAAAAACTGCAAATCAGATTGCAAAAAAGATGAAGGACTTGTATTCAAAATATGTAAAGAACACTGAACATTCACTAACAAGACAAACCAACTAAAATGGATAAAAGATTTGAATAGACATTAATTTAAACAGATGCAGGAATGGCTAAGAAGTGGATGAAAGTTGCTTAATGGAATTAGGCATTAGGAAAATACAAATTAAAATCTCCAGAAGACATTTCACAGGCATTACAATGTCTGTTATTTAAACTGACACTGTTGACAAGTGTTGTGGGGGATCTGGAGACGACTGGGACCTGGTGGGAATGTAAACCTGTATATCCATGTTTAAGCTTCTTTAAAATTTTAATATTAAAAAAAAGCTAAGCATCAACTTACCATGAGATCCAACAATTCTGAGTAGATTTTCTACCCAAGATAAATGAAAACAGACATCCACACAAAGACTCAGATGCAACTGTTCATATCAGCATTGAACATTCAGAAATAATTCAAATGTCCACTCATTGGTGACCTAGACAGAATGTGGTATGTCCATTCAATGGAGTACTATTCAGCAATAAAAAAGAACAAATATGCTATAGTATGAACCCCAAACCAGTGTGCTAAATGGAAGACAGTCAGAGAAGACTCTCTGTCACACAGGTACTTAAATGAAATGTTCAAAAAAAGGTAAGTCTATAGATACAGACACTGCCTTTTTGCAGTGAGGCCAGGGGGAGAACAGAGTGACTACAAATAGGCAAAAGGAGCTTCCGGAGGTGACGGAAACGCTCTTAAACTGTGATGATGGCTGCAGCAACTGCAAGATCACGAAAAGTCATTGAGGTTTCCACTTACGGGGGCTGACTTATGGCTCGCAAGTTTGTAAATTTCACCTCTTTTTTCTTTTTGTGGTAGTGAGGATTGAACCCAGGGAGCTCAGCCACTGAGCCACACCTCCAGCCTTTTTTATATTTTATTTAGAGACAGGGTCTCGCTGGGTTACTTAGGGCCTCTCTAAGTTGCTGAGGCTGGCTTTGAACTCATGATCCTCCTGCCTCAGCCTCGCCACTGGGATGACAGGCGTGTACAGCACCGGCTTTAAATTTCACCTCTTAATAAGGCTGTTAAACAGAAGAATCCCGCAGACTTCCTAGGCTATACCTATTGTCCCAGGGTCATTAGGGTGATTCCTCAAAGTCCAGAAGGTGGGATCCTGGGGAGAGAGAGGGTTCCTAACCAGAAGGAGCAAATGGAAAACTTGTGAGCTAGCAATGACCCTGTTGACCTGGACACAAGTTCCTCAGGTAGTTGCTTTATAATTATTTGTTAAATTGTACATGCAAGATTTAGACCCTTTTCTGTATGGATGTTATATTTTACAATTAAGAAAAATAGTGCTATCCATGAACACCAGGATAATATAAACCAGAGAAGGACATGTCTAATTGTATCTTAGTGGAAATAATAATCATTCGTATTTGTTGGGGATGTTCTTTATGTGCATCATCCCAGTCCTGGGAAATTTCTGGGCAAGAGGGCATCACGGGGCTAGCCCGGGCCATGGATTTGGGGAATTGCTGATGACAGGTGGCAGAGGAGGTCATCCTGGGCAGAGGGGACGCAGTAATTGTTCTGTAGTCGATCAGCCTTGTGTGGCTTTTATAGAGAGATGTTTAGTTATTTATTTACACACATTTTGGGGGAGAGGGCAGTACTGAGGTTTGAGCCCCAGAACAATCGACGACTGTTGCAGCCCTCGTCCTGTTTATTTATTTATATTTGAGACAGAATCTTGCTAATCGCCCAGGATGGCCTTGAACTTGGGATCCTCTGCCTCAGCCTCCAAGTGGCTGGGATTCCAGACATGCACCTCCACACCCCACCGGCTTTCCCTTTCTTGACTCTGAGATTTGTCCTTTGTTAAATGGGAAATGTCCCCAACCCCCAAACCCAAAAGCTCTGAAAACTGAGAGTTATTCCCAGACCCATTTGGTGGCAGGGGCAGACTTGAAGTGCCATGAGGTTTGTGTGGTCTTCCCAAGGACAAGCAGGCCTTTCACTGAAGAAATCCAGGAGTGCCCTTATGGGTGGGGGGCTGGACCCCCAGGGGGTGCCTGAAACCAGGGATGGTACTCAGACCTATATGGACTGTTTTTTCCTGGGCACACACCTACAGTAAAGTTTAATTTATAGATTAGGCACCGTAAGAGATTACAACAGTGACTAATAATAAAATAGAAAGTTTTAACAACACCAAGTCTTAAAAGTGATTTGAACTCAGCTTCTGACTTTTTTTCTCTCCCTCCCTGCCCCGGCCCCCGCCCAGTACTGGGGATCGAACCCAAGGGTGCTCTACCACTGAGCTGCAACCCCAGCCTTTTCAATTTTAGTTTGAGACAGGATCTGGCTAAGCTGCCCAGGCTGGCCTCGAACTTGCGATCCTCCTGCCTCGACCTCCCGAGTCACTGGGATCACAGATAGGTGCCATTGCATAGTTTCAAATGTAGTCTCTCTCCAATCTGCATGGGGTTGTCCTCGCCTTCTGTCATCCTGTGGGATGCCACGGTGCCTGCCTGATGAGATGAACAGAGGTAAAGGGCAGGCATCCGGGCATCGTGGCCCAACCCTAGGCTGCTGTGTAAGGGCGACTTGAACAGAGCACTGGGATTTTGCCACAAGCCACCTGATAATTAATGATCTAAGGCAGCTTCCAAGTAACTAAGAGGGGGCTGCGAACACAGGACAAAGGATGGATCTGCATCCCAGGAAGGAAGGAGCAGGACGTCAAGAGAGTTCGCCATGCTCCTCAGTCCAGCATGCCATTTCAATCTCATGAATTGCTCATTTCTGGAATTTTCCATTTCATATTTCTGACTGCAGTTGACATAGGGTAATTGTAACCATAACAAGCAAAAGTGCAGAGGAGGAGAAGACCTCTCTATGAATGTGTTTGGTTGCCCAGGGCTCCCTGGTCCTGTCAGGATTTGCCTAATCTTGGAAAAGTCTAGTTTCCCAAATGCGCCGGCGGACTTCTAGTAACTCCCTGGCCTCATGGTTGTGGGGAAATCAGATGAGATCAGGGCCTGGCCCTCAACAAATGTTAGCTGCGGGTAGAAGCGTGTTACTATGATTAGCAGCTAGGGCCCCAGCGTGGGCCTCCATGTGTCGGAATCATGCCTCACTGGAACTCTGACGAGGAATGTGGGAGGGAGACGCCTTAGGAAATCACCAGATGAAACACAGCAGGACCAAGAACTGTCCCTAGGGCACAATCAAAACCACACCGGGAATTTTAAGAAGGAAAGGAAAAAAAAAAATGCCCAGTTCAAAAATCCATCCCAAGCAAAAAAGAGTGGAAGGGAGTACCCAACAGTGGTCATGATGTTACCAGTGTTCACAGGAAACAGACGGTGGTAGTCAAGAAAACTCCTTCACCAAATAATAAACACTCCTGTTAGCTGAGCATCTACTTTGCTCTGGGCTGGTGGGAAGTACTTTACAAAACCTCAGGGAAAACTCACCAACAATTCCATGAGGTGGACATTACTTTCCGCATGGGGAAACTGAGATTTGGAGGAGAGAAGCTACGTGCTCAAAGTCACCTGGCAAGACTGTGGTAGAGCCATGGTGAAAGACGAAATCACAACAAATTTAGTTATAGATCGAATTAGTTTTTATTCACAAGTCATAAATCAGAGTAGCCTTGTGTGTGTGTGTGTGTGTGTGTGTGTTATTGGGGATCTAAACCCAGGGGCACTCTACCACTGAGCCACATCCACAGCCCTTTTTATTTTTTATTTTGAAACAGTCTTGCTAGGTTGCTGAGGCTGGTCTTGAACTTGAGATCCTCCTGCCTCGGCATCCCGAGTTGCTGGGATTACGGGCCACTGTGCACGGCTCTGGCAGCCTCCATTCTACAGTACGGAATGTGAGGTCCTACCAGCCATGGGAGAAGAGTGGGCTTTGTAAGGTGAGATGGAGGGAACAAAACCATAGGGCCAAAAAAGCTGATTGGCCAGCATCATGCTATTTAGGTTACATTCTGGAGGGGTTATGGCAAAGGGGACTTCCTTACACACCGACTCAGGTAGACAGGGATGTCTGGTTTCTTTTTTTTTAGGAAAAATGGTGTGTTTGGGGTTTCATCTGCTTCTTTAAAAGTTTCCGTGAGGGGCTGGGGATGTGGCTCAAGCGGTAGTGCGCTCACCTGGCATGCGTGCGGCCCGGGTTCGATCCTCACAAACAAAGATGTTGTGTCTGCCGAAAACTAGAAAATAAATATTTAAAAAATTCTCTCTCTAACTCCCCTTTAAAAAAAGAAGAAAAAAGATTCCGTGATAATGTAGCATTTGGCATGAGTGACTCCATTTTGGTTGGGTCTTGTCACTTGGGGCCTAACTCAGGAGCTCAGGACTCCCATCATTTTGTTTAAGAGCTAGGACTTGAATCCTAATAATGCACAGGATCTGTAGATTGTGCCACTATATGAATCTCCTCTATCTCTTTCTTCATTTCTAGATAATTTTGCTTTATGTTTCCCAATTTTTTATTTTAACATTTTCATCATGTAGAAAACTTTGAACATGTTGCCATACTGTACCCCCTCTGTTTGCTCTACTAGTCACCCAGGCTGGCCTTAAACTCATGATCCTCCTGCTTCAGCCTCCCAAGTTGCTGGGTTTGCAGACTTGTACCACTGTGCCCAGCTCTGGTTTTCTTAATTCAAACCACCGTCATTTATTTATTTTATTTATTTTTCTTTCTTCTTCTTCTTCTTCTTTTTTTTTTTTTTTCCTTCTGGTACCAGGGATTGAACCCAGGGGCACTTAACCACTGAGCTTCATCTCCAGCCTTTTTTATATTTTATTTAGAGACAGGGTCTCACTGACTTCCTTAGGGCTTCGCTGAGTTGCTGAGGCTGGCTTTGAACTCAAAATCCTCCTGCCTCAGCCCCCTGAGCCGTTGGGATTACAGGTGTGTGCCACCATGCCCGGCCCATTTCATTTTTTCTTTAAAGAAATTATATTTTTTTAATCTCAGAAAAAAAAAGTTGGTAGGCTCATCTTCTATTTGATTTAGGAGCTGTATATACAACCTGATTGGCTAAAAACATTTTATAATTTACATGTATATTTAGACCATTTATTTTTTTTAAAATGTATCTTTTAAAGTATGCTCCTTAGCCAGGCCTTACAAAGAGGAGGTGTCAACAGATACTGGGTATATTTATCGGAATAAGAAATACAAGTTCATTTTTTAATTAATTTATTTATTGTGGTGCTGGGGATGAAACCTGAGGCCTCACACATGCTGGACAAGTGCTTGCCCACTGAGCCATCCCCCTAACCTAGAAATACGAAAGTTTAAGAAATTATTTTATGTTAAGAAAGTAGTCAATAGAGAAATTAAGAATCATGTTATGATTATATGGAAAAGACAGGAAGTGTGGAGCTGATGAAAGTCGTCTCCTATTTTAAGCAAGGGATCAATGGACACATTGTTTAAGAGTTCAAAAATGAAGAAATAATCCAAAAGTTTGCTTTTAAGATTTGGAAGCATTTACCCAAGGAATACATAGCAGAAAAAAGTTAAAAAATATGCACGATCGATTACGAGATACTTTATCCGTTTTTGAAAAGTAAATCAATTACCAAAAAAAAATTATAGATATCTCTGCCCAGCAGGAGAGCAGCTAATGTTTAAACGACTGTTCGTTGTCCCCCACTACCACCACCCCAGCTCGGAGGCTCCCTGGGTCCCACTGTCTTTTCTTCTGGTGGCTTCCCAGGACATTTAAACCATTACTCTTTACTTAAAAACCCATTCGTAATATTTCACTCTCTCAAAGTGGGAAGCAAACAGATGCTGTCTGAAGTAGAGGGAACAAGGAGAACGTTCATTGAGGAAAGAAAAAAAAAATTCCTGAGCTTTGCAAAGTAACTTGGGCGAACTCAGAAGCGGAGGCGTGGCCACCGCCACCCTGCAGGCTGCTGAGCCAAGCCCAGGCCCCGGGCTCCTAACGCGCAGCCTGCGGGGACCCAGGGCACCCGCGGCCAGGGGCACAGCCGGCAGCCGCCCACACGTGTCGGCCGGGGCGGTTCCAACGAGTACTGAAGGGCGACACCCGCGGAGCCGCGGAGGGGTCGGGGTGGCGGGGTGCGCGTTGGGGACCCGTTTTAAGAGCAAAGCTCAGGACCGTGCGGGGCTTCCTAACGAGCGTTTGCAAAACTCTTGAGTTTACGGGGGGCTGGGATGGAGGGGGGCCTGGGAAGGGGGCGCCGGGACCCCCGGGGACCCACCCCACCCCGGGGGCGCCCCGCTGCGGGTGAGGACGGAGCCCTCGGTCACACCTGGGTCCCTACCTGTCCGGCGCTCCCCGGGCGGCCAGCTCGCAGGGGTCTGGGGACCGGGATCGTCTTCCCGCCCTGCTCGGGAGGCAGTCGGGGGGCTCCCCGGGATCGGCCTGCCCAGGGAGCCCCGGGACCGGCTCTGGGCAGCCGGTCCTCTCCCCGGGGCTGGCGGCTGCAATCCGGAACCGGGACCTGCGGCCGAGCGCTGTGGCCGGCGGGCGGGAGGTGGCCCTGCCCCGGCGGCTGCGCCTGGAGCCAGCGAGGGCGGCGCCCGGATCGGGAGGGCGGCGGGCGCCGCGCGGAGGGAGGGCCGGGCCAGGAGCCGTCCCGCGCTCGAGATCCCGGGGAGCCTCGCTGTCCCCACGTGGCTGCCTGAGATCCGGGACCCGGGTTCGCACCGTGGGCACCTCCTCTCGGCGGGTTCCGCCGCCCCCAGGCCCCCGCGGTGGCGCTGCGCGGGACTCCCCGGCTCCCCAAGCCCTTCTCAGTGGCCTGGGGCTGAAGCCGCCTCCGCCATTCACAACGTCCCTCAGATCCTGCGACCCTGCACAGCTCGTCGGTGGCCCAGCTGAGACTGTGAACCAGAAGCAGACTACATAGCTTTTTGTTTGTTTGTTTTTGTTTTTGGTACTGCGGATTGAACTCAGGGGCACTCGACCACTGAGTCACATCCCCAGCCCTATTTTGTATTTTGTTTAGAGAGTTGATTAGCACCCTGCTTTTGCTGAGGCTGGCTTTGAACTCGTGATCCTCCTGCTTCAGCTGCCAGAACTACTGGGATTACAGGCTTGCACCCCTGCGCCCAGCTCAGACTACATAGTTTTACAACAGTCACTAAAGTATTTACTCCTACAGACAATAGCTATTTATTACAGATCAATTAGAAACAACACAGGGGAGTCCTCATTCCAGTAATTGAATCATCAATGGATGGTAAAGCCATAGGTAAAATGTTGTTAGGGAACTCTCCAAAATTCACACTCAACAGATGACTTCATTACAAAGGTATGTGTGTTGGGGGGATGTACCTATATAGTGGAGTGGGGAGAGGTAGGCAAGACACCTCCTGGCCAACTGATCATATGGTATCCCCAACAGTGGGACATCCTGACTTCAAATGCATCTGGATACATCACAAAATTGCCTATACAGATCCTTTTTGAATTCAGGGGTGCTTAACCATTGAGCCACATCCCCAGACTTTTTAAATTTTTTATTTGGAGACAGGGCCCTGCTGAATTGCTTAGGGCCTCACTAAATTGCTGAGTTTGGCTTTGAACTTGCCACCCTCCTGCCTCAGCCTCCTGAGCCACTGGGATTACAGGCATGTGCCACCGATCCTGGTTCCCAGTGCCTCCTCCTGCATGTTTGCTAGGCAAGCTCTGTGCCATTGAGCTACATCCCCTTTGCAGAGAAAGTATAGGAAAGATGATGTGAAGATACACTGGGAGAAGATGGCAGCGTGACTGAAGTGCCGCACCTACAGGCCAACAAATGCCAAAGGCCACCAGCAAACACCAGAAACTGGAGAATCAAGGAAGGATTCTTTCCCAGAGCCATCAGAGAGAGTATGGCCCTAATGATACCTTGATTTCATTTCTACCGTCTGGAACTTTGAGACAAGGAATTTCTTTATTTCAGGAGGGAAAAGAAAAAGTGTTGAGCCTAAATTTAACAATGAGGAAACAATCAGGTAGTGAGAATGGGAGACGTCCCCAAGACAACTGGCCAGGACTCTTCAAAAGAGTTAACATATGGCTGGTGCCCTGGCACACACCTGTGATCCCAGAGGCTTGGGAAGCTGAGGCAGGAGGATCATGAGTTCAAAGCCAGCCTCAGCAATGGCAAGCAACTCAGCGAGACCCTGTCTATAATCAAAATACAAAATAAGGATGGGGATTTGGCTCAGTGGTTGAGTGCCCCTGAGTTCAATCCCTGGTACCTCCCCCCCAAAAAAAAGAGTTAACATGAAAACCAAAAAAGAGATCAGAGAGTCATAACAATCAAATATGGTTGTTGCAACCCTATTGGGTCCTGAAGTAGCTTTGACTCAGGCTTTCTCCTGCTCAGTGCAGATTTTCTGTTCCCATCTGGGTTTGTCCCTTGGTATTCTCAGAGGAACCCAGCTGGTGTCTGCGGGTGATGGAGGTGCACTTTCTGTTCCTAATAGTGGGTTGTTTTTGCACCAGGTCTCTACCCTGCATTGCAGTATGAATGGGTGCTTTGAGCCTGCCGGTCAGGCTTGCTGCTGGGCTCATCACTCCCTGTGGATGAGAGTCTTGGAACTCCTCTCTGGTTTCCCTTCCTTCTGCTACAAGTTCAGGGATAGGGCTGGCTGCCAGGTTTTTTTTTTTTTTTTTTTTCTTTTCCATTTTTAGATGCCAACATCCACCCTAGTTACCACCTGGGACAGTAGAGTTGAGTCTCTATGAAACCACCCTTCAGCTCTGGTTTTCCTGAATGTTGGGTGGCCTGTGCCCTGGGGAAGAGGGAGGGAGATGGCAGAAAGCTCAGACTGACTATCATTGGTGCCATTCTGTCTCCATTGTCGCATTCCTATCTGTTTCCCACAACCTGGGTCATTCTGGGCTCCCTATTCCCATGTTAGAAATAACGAGGAGTGAGCTCTGAGCCGTGGCGGACGCCTGTAATCCCAGCAACTCGGGAGGCTGAGGCAGGAGGATACCAAGTTCAAAGCCAGCCTCGGCAACTTAGCAAGGCCCTAAGCAACTCAGCGAGACTCTGTCTCTAAATAAAATACAAAAAGAGTTGGGGATGTCCCTCAGTGGTTAGGCGCCCCTGGGTTCGATCCCTCGTTTAAAAAAAAAAAGTAATAACAACAACAACAACGATCCGCAAGAAATCATGTGAGTGCTGGGAAGTGGGTCGTCAAGGCAAATGCACTTCTGCAGAAAGCCCCCTCCCAGCCGGAGTCTTGCGAGCGAGGGTCCTGGGCTCTTACCTTTTGCCTGCTCTTACCTCAAACCTAGCGCCACGCTGCCCTCCACTCTGATTGGAGGAGCTCCGGGCTTCCATCTCCGTGATTGGCTAACTTTAGAATTAGGGCGGGCAAAAGGGAAGGGCTCCAATTAAGGCTGTATTTCATCTTGAAGATGGACTCCCAGACTTTCTATTTCTCATGCCTGAGCCCCGTCCTAAATGTCATCATTTCCCTGTGAACCATGTCTTCTGTCTCCACCTGATTTGTCTACCAGAAATGTGTTCTGTTGGTGTCTCTCATTCACGGATGGTCTCTGGGGTCCACTGAATAACAGCCCATCGAAAATATCCACATCCCGAGCCCCAGGATCTGCAAATATATCACCTTACATGGCAAAAGGGACTTTGAAGATGTGTCAAGTTAAGGATCTTGCGATCAAGAGATTATCCTGGATTATCTGGTGGGTCCTGAATGAAATCGAAAATGCTCCTTCCAAGAGGGACCCAGGGGAGTTAGGCAGAGGGGTGTGGACTGAGAGCGGAAGCAGAGGCCGGAGGGATGTGCTTCAAAGACGAAGGAGAAGGCCACAAGCCAAGGAACGCAGGGGCCACTAGAAACTGAAAAGGGAAGCCAGGATTGGTGACGCGCTGCTGCAGACCCAGCTACTTGGAGGCCGAGGCAGGAGAAGCGCTTGGGTCCAGGAGTTTGAGACCAGCCTGGCCAACATAGTGAGACCCTGTCTCTTAAAAGAAAAGAGAAAACAAAACAAAAAACAACAACAAAATCACCCCTCCCCCCAAAACAACAACAACAAAAAAAAAAAAAAAAAAAAAACTGAAAAAGGTAAGAACATGGATTCTTTCCTTAGAGCTTCCAGAAGGAACCAGCCTACTGACACCTTTTTTGGGGGGAGAGGGAGGAAGAATTGCTGGGGATTGAACCCAGGTGTGCTTTACCTCTGAGCTATATCCTCAGTCCTTTTTCTACTTTTCATTTTGATAGGGGGTCTTGCTAAGTTGCCCAGGGTGGCCTCAAAGTTGTGATCCTCCTGCCTCAGCCTCCTGAGTCACTGGGATTTCAGGTGTGGGCCACCACACCTGGCAGCACCTGCTGACACCTTGACATTGGAGCAGGGGAGCTTATTTCCCACTCCCAACTCCAGAACTGCAAAAGAACAATTTTTGTTGTTTCAAGCTACTGAATTTGTGATAATGTGTTACAAAAATGACACACCTTGTTACAAATTACGTGATTGGTTATGACAGCAGTGGGAAAACAAATAGGGTCTCCTTTGCCATCTCTTTGCCACGGTCCCTTGATGGCCCATCACTCTGTGTAGGTAAGAGTGTACTACAGGACTGTTTAGGCCATTTGTGCTGCTATCACAAAATACCTGGGACGGGGTGATTAGTACTGAACAGCCTGGTCTCCTTTGAAGAACTAGACCAGGGAAGAGAGTCAGCGGGATGGTTTTTGTTCAGCCGGCTGAGTCACCAGGGGGCTGTGGGTTGCCAGAGGGCTGCTGGCTAAGAGAAGAGAATTTCAAAAGACATGAAAAGAATTTGAAAACAGGATCTAGCTTTCATAAACGATATCTCCCCAGGGAAAGAAATAGGAGAGGTGTTTACAGGACGGGTGGAATGTGTACTGGTGGTGGTTTGCTGCTATGGTTTAGATATGTCCCCACCCCCCAAATCTGTATGAAAAAGGTGGGTGGCGCTGTTGGGAGGTGCTATGAACTGTAAAAGGTGGGGCCTAGTGAGACTCCCTCCCTAGGACATGCCCTCAACAGGGGTGGTGGGACTCTTGCCCTTCCTCTCTTTCTCCGCTTTCTGGCCCCAGATGTGAACATTTGCTCGGGCACATGCTCTGGTCATGATGCACCACCCTCACCAAAGGCCCACACCAATGGGCCGCCTGATCTTGAACTTGAATCTCCAGATCAGTGAACCAAAAGAAACTTCTTAAGTAGCCTGTGCCAAGTATTTCATTTCAGTGACATGACACCAACTAATACAGTTGCCTTATGATTTCCAGAAAAGAGTCTATACTCATTAACAATTGAACTCTGTTTTGGGGGGAAATGCCAAAAATTTACTGAACACACCAGATCTGTAAGAACTTGCTTATCACTGATCAGAACAGGATTGATAAAAAAAAAAGAGGGTGTGTTCATGGGAGTTTGGAAAAAAACAAAATTTAGTTGCTGTAACAGGCATCCAACTTAAAAGTTTATTTCTCTTTCTCTACTCCTCTCCA